GTCCACGTTTTCAAACTCATCTCATGAAATCTTAGATTTTGAATAAAGAAGTTATGATTTTAGCATTCATGTTCTTCATGTTCTTGTCCTTCATGTCCTTCAAAGGGAAACCCAGGTTTTCCCGACTTCATTTCCTCGAATGTGGCCGTTGGGACCATACCTCGGCCAAAGGGTGTGGGACCTCAGCCAAGACCTGGTTGGTACGCAGCATGTTTTCCCGAGATGAAACACAGTCTTTTAACTTCCAGCATGTTTTGCTTTGACTTGACCTAATTTTGAAAGAAATGCCGAGATCCTTTCCTGTCAGGTAAAGCTTGTTCTATGGGTGCATTCCATATCCATCTTTTAGTATCTCTTCTTGTCTTCTTGAAATGCATTCAATGGAATTTATTATGTGCTTGTAGGCCTTGGATCTTTGCTTGTAATCCCCTCACCCGAAGAGCTATGTGAGTGGTATTTTTAATAAAGTTATGTTATAAAGTTTTGATAAAGCCTTGATTCGTTTTGGAAAAGTATTTGATCAAGCATGAATGATTGTCCCTAGTTTTGTATCTAGTATTATATTATTTTGATGACATTCTGGGAAAGTCCTTAGTGCCAGGGGACTATAATGCAACTGCACCCTTGTTTTGAAAGTCCTTAGTGCCAGGGGACTATAATGCAACTGCATCCTTGTTTTGAAAGTCCTTAGTACCAGGGGACTATAATGTGACTGCACCCTTGTTTTGCCACTGACGGTTTTCCGCGTGGGTTTGTTTGTCCGGAATGTCATCCCTTGTACTATATTGATGCTAATAAACATCCCTTGAAGCTTTGAAAGACTTGATAGATGAACTTGGTTCATCCCTTGTTTTTGTACAAGTTATGCTATGTATTGTTTTGATAAAGATCTCGGATATCATTCATTTAACCATTTATTACTAATGTCATTCACTGAGTATCCAAGCTCACCCTCTCCTTATATATATGTAGGTGATGAGCAAGAAGGTGACGACGCCTAGATGATTATTTGCAACTTGTTTTGGATTCGCATTTTTGTAGCATCTTGAAGATCATGCTTCTTGACTTGTAGTTTACTTCTCTTGTTTATGTCGGCTTGAGAAGCCTTTTGATCAAGATGTATTATGTACTTATTTTATTTGTATTCCAGTTGTAAGACCTTGATAAGATGTATGTCATTTCATTTAATCTATGCACAGCTCTTATGGACTAATTAGATTTAAATTTATTACTTCCGCACATGTAGGCCCTATATGTATACTCTGATCGTGTGTGAATCTTTGCAAGTTAGCCTTTGGTAATCTCGGATTACTGGCCATCACGGCACCATTCTACTAGAGGTAGAATGGGGTCGTGACATGTTTGTTAGCCATATTAGTAGTGTCTTAACCTCCACTATGTCTCTCTTTGATACTTATTATATTCCTGCCTTCACCCTAAATCTTATCTAAGTTGGTCAACTTTGTGAACTTGATTTAATTGTTCTCTTTTCCTCATCTAGTTGTCAGGTTTAGGATCCACGAAAAAGATGGATTATTGGGATAAGGCGTAAAACTGGGTGTCTATTTAAGCTCATCAATCTCCATCTATTGTCTTTTGCACCTACTACTCAGCACGTCGCATCCACTCATTTCTTAACGTTTGGTATCCTAGATTAGGGCATGTTTCTTTTAGTTGGCTGTGTACTTTAGTATCTAGTTGAAATTTAGGCTTTGTTTCTTCTAATTCTAATAATGACTGTCCATCTTGACAACTTGCTAAACAACTAGCTTTGTCTTTTAATACAAGTGATTCTGTTTCAAAATTTCCATTTGATTTAGTTCACTCTGATGTTTGGGGTCCTTCTCCCAATACCACTATGGAGGATCTTCAGATTCTTTGTCATTTTTGTGGATGATTAATCACAATTCATTTGGATTTATATTTTAAAACAACGTTCTAAGTTGCCTCAAACTTATTTTGATTTTTCTAAAATGATTAAAACTCAATTTGGTTATTCTATCAAAAATTTTCGATTTGATAATGCTGAAGAATACAAAGAAACTAATTTTTTTAAAACTTTTTTGTGAGTATAGTACACTTCCCCATCGCTCTTATCATCACACCTTCTAGCAAAATGGTCGTGCTGAACGCAAGCATAGGTACATTCTTGATATAGTCAAAGCTCTTCTCATCTCTTCTTCTTGTCCTGACCCTTTTTGGGGTGAAGCTGCCCTTATGGCTATTTACACTGCTAACTGTATCCCATCTCCTGTCATTAACAATCAAACCTCATAGGGTAGTTTGAAGGATGAATGTTGGAGGGCAGCTGTTTAGAGCGCTCGCTCCGTATGGTACTTTTTCTATTTATGTATGTACTTGTTTCGTAGTTGGATCAACTATTTTCCTGAACATCTCCATGGTACATCTCCTTCCTATACAAAACTTCGAGTCTTTGGCTGTGCCTATTTTGTTCTTCTCCCTCCCCATGAACGCAACAAGTTACAACCGCAGTCGTGACTGCGTCGCTTCTTAGGCTATGACATAGAACATAAAGGGTTTTGATGTTGGGATCCTATCTCTTACTGTCTTCGTATCTCTCACCATGTCATTTTTTAGGAACATAAAATGTTCTCCTCCACCTACAAATTCTCTCTTCCTTCCACTTCCACCATTTCATATTTCACTAATCCTTCCATTGATCTTTTCCCTGATGATGCTCTAACAAATGCCTCTCCATCCAGTGGTTCTCTGACTGTTCCTAATGATCTTGTTCTGCCTGTTGATCTTGTTTTGTTACCATTTCCTGAGAGTACTGATACTGCAAGTTCTTCAGAGTCTCCTTCTTCCTCTAACAGTGATTCTCCTAATGCTCCCTCTATTGTCCCTCTTTCAAAATGGGCATCTAAATAACCAGGTTATTTACAAGATTACCCTTCTTTTTCTACCATTCTAAGTCAACATGAATCTCATACCTATCCTGGAGCTTGTACTAATTCTATTTGGAAGCAAGCAATGGCAGAAGAGTTATAAGCTTTACACAAGATCCACACATGGGATATGGTTTGTTCTTCCTTCTAGCAAAACTCCTATTGGTTGTAAATGGGTCTATAAAATTAAAACTCATTCTGATGGTACAATTGAACATTACAAAGGTCGTCTTGTTACAAAAGGCTTCACTCAGGAGTATGGTATTGATTATGAAGAGACTTTTGCTTATGTTGCCCGCCTTACATCTGTTCGTAGTTTACTTACTATTGCTACCTCGTGTCAGTGGGGTTTATCTCAGATGGATGTTAAGAATGTCTTTGTCAATGGTGATCTTATCAAGGAAGTTTACATGTAACCTCCTCCAGGCTATGAGCATTTTCCAAATACTGTTTATCGCCTTGGTCGTACTCTCTATGGCCTCAAGCAGGCTCCCCATGCTTGGTTTTCCAAGTTCAGTGCTATTATTCCTCAGTTTGGGTTCTCTTCTAGATTATGCTCTTTTTATTCGAAAGACGGCATGTGGTATTACCCTTTTATTGCTTTATGTTGATGATATGATTATTACTGGTGATGATCTTGATGACATTCAAGAGCTAAAACATTTTCTTAGCTCTCATTTTGAGATGAAAGATCTAGGTTCTCTTAGTTACTTTCTTGGTCTTGACATTTCTTCTACTCCAAGTGGCTTGTATCTCACTCAAGCTAAATATGCATCTAATCTCTTATCTCATGCTAGTCTCACGGATAGCAAGACTGCTCCTACACCACTTGAGTACAATACTCGCCTTACCTCTTTAGAGGACACTCTTCTTTTTGATGTAACTCTGTATCGACAATTAGATGGTAGTTTGGTCTATCTAACTGTTACTCAACCTGATATCTCTCATGCCATTCACATAGTTAGTTAGTTTTTTTCTGCTCCACGGTCTCCTCATTATGTTCTTGTTCTTTGTATTATCTGATATGTGAAGGGTACTTTGTTTCATGGACTTCATTACTCTACTCACACTCCTCTCGAGTTATGTGCATATACTGGTGCTGATTGGCTGGTGATCCCACTGATCGTCTCTCTATTACTGGTTATTGTTTATTTCTTAGAAGTTTATTGATTTCTTGGTAGAGTAAGAAGCAACTGAGGCAAAATATCGTGCTTTTGCTAACACTACTCTCAGGAAATTTTTGGCTTCGTTGGATACTTGCGAACATGGGTTTATTTCATTTCACTACTACTACTCTCCATTGTGACAATCGTACTACCATTCAGATTGCCACAATGATGTTTTCATGATCGCACCAAACACATCGAGATTGATTGTCATTTTATTCGTCAACATGTCATTAGTGGCATTGTCTAGATCTAATTTGTTTCTTCCGCTACTCAAGTTGTTGATCTGTTTACTAAAGCCCATCTTTCTAGTCGTTTTCATGAGTTACTTTCCAAATTCCAGTTGGTCTCTTTGAAACCACCTTGAGTTTGAGAGGGGCTATTAGTAAATATAATAGTAAATATATTTTGTATATATTATATAGTAATATGTATTATTTCTATATTAGGGTTTCCTTTCTTGTTCACCACTCTTCCTTGCCTATATATAGGCCTTCATTGTATTGTATAAAGATGCACAGTAATATCGAATATTTAATATAATATTTTCCTTCTATCTCTTACATATTGTAATAATAAACAATAAAATTGTTCCTCTCTCTAACAACTTGATCATTTAAATGAGTTAATGTTAGCAAAAAAATATTTTCCATAACTCATAATTGATCTCCTTTTTCTCACTACATAAAATTAAGATTTTGGAAAAAAAAGTTAAAGACAAAATCATTTTTCAGGAACCAAATATTTTAGTTGTGAAATTTATCATTGTTATATTTTTAGTGATAAACACTACAAGAAAATTGACATACAACAACGTTTATACAACATCGTTTAAAAAAAACGCCATTTTTTTTTTTTGTGTTTTTCGTGTTTTACATAAAAAAAGAGAAAAAAAAAGAAGGTCACTTAACAGATCTCACTTTCTCACGCTCGTGTCTCCGTTATGGTCCGTCTCTCTCATTCTTACACTCATATCTCACTCTCACAGATCTCACTCCCTCTCACTCTCTCACACACCGCTCATCTCTCTCGCAATCGAGCATCAATCTACATTCCTCGGTCAAACATCGATCTCTGTCGCTCTAGGGCTTTGCTCTAGCTGTTCTTCATTGAACTCGAACTCGAACTCGATCTGTTCTTCATCTCAGATCAGATCATTATCATTCTTCGATTCTGTTCTTCTCTCTTCGATCTCTCTGCAAATCTCTCTCTCTCTCTAAACTCTGTTTGGATCTATCTGTGTTCGATCATGGAGATGGAACGTGTGATCGAGTTTCCACACGCGCACATGGATCGTCGTCCCAGAAAGAGACCACGTTTGGGTTGGGACGTTGCTCCTCAGGCCCTTAAGGTATCAAATCTGTTCTCTAGATCTCTAATTTCATAATTTTTTTTCTTCTTTTTTTTGGTTCTGTTTTTTGCTAGATCTGGTTGAAATTAGATACGTGGTAGATCAGGTATGAGAAAAGGTTTATGCTTTTATAAATCTGTAAATTTCATGGTAGATCGGGTTTGGATAAAGGTTTTTTTTTTTTATGTAAAATCGATTTTTATGTATGATCTGTAAGTGTCTGTCTTTCTTGGTGGAGATGCGAAGTTACTTGAGCTAGAAAAGCTTGTTCTTCCTCTGTACTTGAGCGTATATCTTCGAGATTGTTCGAATCCTTCTGATCTAAATCGATCTAGGGCTCAAGGTAAGGGTTTTCTGACTTGGATTCGCTAAGTTCACTCAAGATCTGTAAAATGTAGGAATTAACCTATGTAAGTGAAGTATATATTAATTATGTTGTACAGAAATGTTTGACCGAGGAATGTATGCTGGCCTGGTTGGTTGGTTTGGAGGAGGAGAAAGTGAGTTTGTTGTTGGAATAAGGTCAGCCTTGGTGGGAAGGGTGAGCCACTTACTGCTACATCTTTTGCTGAAATCTATATTATTTGTCATCAAAACTTCAACTTTTGACAGTACACTAAAAATGTAGTTTCTGCCTTTCTTTTCCTTTTTTCTCTGTCAAGCTATATACCAAAAGAACTATTGAAATGGTTTTCACTGACAGTAACAGCAATGGGGTTATTTTTGTATATGGATGTACTTTCGTTTCAAAAATCTCTATAACTGTCCGTGATTTCGTAGTGATGTCATTCCCAAAGTAATGTGTGCTGACCAATTTGGATAGGGACTTGTTGCATTAATTTATGCTGGAACTGGTATAGTTGAAGGAAGTAATTCATCTTTAGAATGGGAGGAACTGGAGCTGAAGACATCTTAGGTTTGTGAATGTCTTTGTTTGGATGCATATATGTGGTTGTGTGGGGCTACACCCATTTGTGTCAAAATGCACTTGTCTTCATGCTTAAAAACATGCTTGTAGAATTGCCATTTTATTTATCTGTTTTCTATGTTTGTTTAAATATGGATTGTATAGTACTATATTGAGGGCATATCACTTTGCATCATCAAAAATGCTTTTAGGAAATACCAAGCGATGCTAAAGGCCTTTTTCCATGTTTTTTTGGGTGCAGTTTACCAAGTTGATGAAACTTGAGGTGCCTCTTTTGATACCAAGAAGGGGTGATGTCACAATTATTATTATCAAGAGAGGGATTATCGTATCTAACTTCCTCCCTTTCTCTCTCTCTTGGTGAAATGTGTTGAGGTTTTCAAGGAATTTTATCGAACAAAAACAAAACATAGAAAGCTTTATTGGATTTACTCATTGGGTATCTGCAACATAATCGGCAAGTTTTCAATAAATCCTTGTTTTATTTCTTTCAGTCTTATGCTGAAATGTTTTAGTTGCAAGGTGATTATCACGCACTTGTATCTCATTGCCACATTCTCTGTGCATCAGTGGCATGCTGAGTAATGCAGTTGTAGATTATCTTAGCTAGTTATGTAGTGATATTGGCCTAGTCAGCAACTGGTTGACAAAATTTTAGGTTTAGTTAGCTAACTGCTCATATTTGCTGCTCATATTTGCTGTAGTTCTTCGTCTGCAACAATCTGATCTAATTTCTCATTTTCAGCAATCAAAAAGCAAATGGAGAAAGATGTTGATGAAGTGGGAAAGGTTGCACGAAATGTCAAAGCAAAATTAGAAGCAATAAGCAAAGATGTATTTCTTAATTCCTTTATTTTTATGTCTATCAAAATGTTATCTGATGGTAGTTAGCCTGGTATGGCAGTGTGTACTGATTCCCTCTTCTTTCTCTTTAGAACTTAGCCAATCGACAGAAACTTGGATGTGGAAAGGGAACAGGTGTTGATCGATCAAGGACAAATATGACAAAGTGTGTTTCTTCTGCAGCATATAAATTTCAGATTATTGCACATTTGTTGTTTTAGAATCATATTTAATTATTTTCTTGAAACGCAGTGCGTTGACAAAAAAGTTCAGGGACCTAATGATTGAATTTCAGGTATATTTGGATATATATTCATTTTGGTAGTTGCTTTCTTTTCATTCACTATCTGAATTTCCTTGATTAGACTCTGAGACAAAGGATCCAAGATGAATACCGTGAGGTCGTGGAGCGAAGGGTCATAACAGGTCTGAATATTGCTGTCTGCATATAAACAAAAATTACGGTTAAAATTTGAAGTTGGAATGATGTCTTTCGTAATCATTTTGCTTGTTGCTGGTTGATCTTGTTTTTATTGGCTATGTTTCACTTTGTGTTTTAATTTTGAGATGACTGAGCAGTCACAGGAACCAGACCAGATGAAGAAGTGAGCCAAAATAATGAGATCAATATTTGGGCTGTAATGGTGAAATGGAACTATGGATGTTATCCTAACTGAAATTTTTTTTGACTGTATCGGACAATCGACCACCTGATAGAAACCTGTAACAGTGAACAAATATTCCACAAAGCTATTCAAGAAATGGAAGAGGGCAGGTACTACCTTCTCTACTTTTACCATATTTCCCATACTACATGTGTTTCTGGTTGTGAACAAGTCTCGTGAACTAAATTGTAGCTAGTCACCAGTTTAATTATCTTTTTATGTATGTGTTTTGTCTAATACATCCGGCTACAGATAATTTCAACTTAATTTGATCCTCCTTCTATGTCTGGTTGACTGTTGAGTTGTGGAGACTACTACTAAAAAAGAAAAAACAAAAGAAATCACTACTAAAATATAAATTTGAATTTGAATTTTGATACTACTAAAATATAGGAATTAACCTACATCTTTCATATATTTTTTTTTCTTAATGTTTAATAATTTTATATGCATTGATATTCCAATCTATATATCTATGTTATAGCAAACTGAGATTCCATTAAAAAAAAATTCATTAAACCTCCAAAGGTTAGTGATGTAGATAAAATCAAACAAAATGTGTAGGTCTTAGAGTTTTAAAGTAAAAAATTTATGTTAGAATTTGTTCAAATGTAATCCTCTTAATATTTATAAATATTTTTATTGATTGACAAAAAGCACCATAAACATTAAGATAATTGTTTTTTTTTTATTATTATATTGAGTTATTAAAATAAGATGTATTATATGCTTAAACCAAGAATTGTTGAAAAAAAAATCGACTCAAACTAAATTTTCTAGACTCATTTTTAATATTTAATCTAATATTGGAACCCTCAAACTAACTTATCTCGGTTACAAACCGATAAAGATAATTTTAAACAATCAAGACAATTTTTAATGACTAGGTGAATGTTACATTGGCATAAATATTCAATTAACTAGCTTTCAGGTCACTTCTAATATTTAATCGAACACCACAAGTCAATTTCAATTATATTGTCCCTTCTTAGAATTGTGGAGACTGTAGGTGAAAGTGTGGCTAATCTCCAACTAGGCTCAATGGCAATTGTTCATTCTCAAGGAAGTTCCTTCACTAGACCGACACCATTGGTCTTTTGAGGTTTGTTTTTTTCTCAATAGTTCACTTTTATGAGTTTGGCTTCTAGTCTTCCTCCTCCGTCTGACTTAATTTGTTGTTTCCTTCACTTATTTTGTGAGGTTGAATTTGGGGATATCATCTCGAGGGAGAGAGAAATTGGTGATGTTCCACTCTGCAGTGTAATTTCTAAAATTGGCCAGCTTGTTCCTTAAATAAGCATTGGCCCATGAATTGAGTAACTTGTATAATCTTGCTAACTATTTCTTTTCTTTGGATCTGAATTTGCAAATTTGGGTGCAGGCCTTATAATTGAACTGGTGCAAGTAAGTGTTGCCTTTTTTTTTTTTTGTTGGAAGTTTGTTTATCTGTTGATTGGATGTGCTCACATTTTCATTTTATTTTTGAACAGGCTATTATAGTGTCAACAAGCTGACTTCTGCTGGTTGCAAAGTAAAGATTTGAAGATTTGCACTAAATAACAAAAATGAGGGGGTGATTTGAAGAAAATTCAAATTGTTTGACAGTATATGATTGAGATTTGGAAAGTTATAGGGTTAAATATCTAAGGAGATAAACTAGAATTTTTATGATTTTCAATTTGGCAATGTAATTTAAATTTGAGCCAATTTGTTTTATTATATACTAATTATCAGTTAATTTTCAATCTCTGTTCCTAATTAAATTTATATAAATTCTCAGTTAATTTTCAATCTCAATTTCTATTCTTAGTTAAATTCTCAATTATTCTCAATTAATTGGGCTGTATTTAAAAAAAAAATAAAAAAAATGGCGTTTTCAAAAAAAAATGTCACTAAATGTTGTCATCATGACATCACATCTGAGGTAAGTAGTAAAAATGAAAAAAGGTGGCAGTTTTTCAAAAAACGCCACTGAATGATGTCATCATTACATCATATATTAATTGTGACGGAAAAGTAGATGGCTGTTAAAAATTTTGCGACGTTTTGAAAAACGCCGTCTAATGTTTTTAGCGGCGCTTTTGAAACGCCGCTAAGATATTGCGGCGGCGATCTACGACGAAAATATTAAACGTTGCAAAAAATTATTGCGGCGTTTTTCAAGGATATAGTGGCGTTTTTGAAACGCTGCTAAAAATTAAATTTCTTGTAGTGAAAATTAGACATCTAGTAATGAATTACTATTCTTTGGACCAAATTTAGTCTCAAAAATAAACTTTTTGTAGCAATTATTTTGAATCCTAAAACTGTTATATTTTTGTGGTGTACTTTCTTTTACATGAAACCATAAACTATTGTCATGTTTGATTGCATTTGAGTTTGTCTCAACTACAAGTGTGACAAAACCATCATGTGATATGCTTTTATCTATTTAATTTTTGAATGCTAAGTGTGTGTTGATGTTTAATTTGTGCACATTTGTTCATTATATGAATTATATGTTGTGATTCTGTCTTAAATCTAAAATTGAAGGCCTTAAAGGCTTCAGAAACCGAAATTAATAAGTTTAATTAGAATGACATAATTTTTAGAGCATATTGGGAAGTTTGATTAAAATTTGATTCAGTTCAGAAAAATTAAGTTTTAATTAATTAATCTTAAGCCTAAAATTATTTAACTTAATCCTTGATTAGTGTTAATTAAATTAAAAAGTATATATATGTTAAGAATGTAGACTTGATCATTCTATGAGCTCAAAATTCTAGTGGAAGTTTCGAAAGAGAAGGAGAGACTTCATTCTAGAGAGAGAGAAGGCTAGAGAACTTGGAATTTGGCTAGAGAATTGGATATTTGACAAGAGAGGCTCAAGTTCTTGCTACAATAAGCTTAATTGAAGACTTTGGGTATGTGTTTAACCCTTAATTCATGAATCAAAGTCACCAAGTATGTGAATTCAAGAAGATTAAATGATTAAACACAAGAATTGAGTTTAAAGGTGATGAATTTGAAAGCTAAGCCTATATGCATGCATAATTGTGTGAAAAATCATCAATTTGAGCATGATTTTGTTACCCATACTTGAATTGAGACTCGAATCATATATGCATCCATGAATTATGTTGTTTTGAAGCTCAATTCCATGTTTTAAAAGTTGTAAAAAAAAATAAAAATTTCAGCCAAGATCATACATGCATGAAGCTCTAAGCTTCAATTTTGCAAAATCATAAATTTTTTGAGCTATGAGTTTAGAATTAGCTTTGTACTCATGTTTTAGAAGTGTTTCCATGGTAATCTACACTTTGAACTTGTGTTTTGAAGCTTAAAATTCTGTTTTGAAAACCCAGAATTTGACCACATCGCTCGAGCAGTGAAGTTACAACTCAAGCGCACAATTCATGCATCTAGTATTTTTGCAGAGCATTGCACATGGCTTGAGCGACCAAGTGACCGCTCGAGCGACCTCAGTTTTCTTTGTACCTTGGCTCGAGTGACCATCGAGCCTAGAATCTGACCATCCAATACTTTTACAAACCATGTGGTCCGCTCAAGCTTGAGCGAAGTATCCTGTTTTAACATATTTTGAAAAGTCATATTCAAATCATGTTTGCATTTTCATTCCTTTCTAAGAATTCTTAGGCATGAATTGAGCCTCCCAAATGAATTAATAAGTTAGAATGAGACTTAAAAGAATTGAATAAGTTAAAGAACGTTTCGATTAAGCAACGTGTTTCAATATGTGTATATGTTTATGAATTGTGTAGATTGATCCACGAACACGTGCCAACAACCAAATCACTGTGAGTAATATCTTAGTAAAGATATTTTCAAATACATTATTTTTTAAACGTTTCCAATGTGGTAAGCTTTTTCAAACTTATGATTTTGTGATATGAATCGGCCTTCTATCTGTCCGATCAACATGATATCTGCGAATGTGATTGATGAGATACAAATGTATATGAAGGACCTAAGGTTGTTCTGTATATTTGATAAGAAAGACCCAAGGTCGTTCCAAATATCTGATAAGTCTGAATATATGTTATGTGTTGATCAAATGGTCATTATACAGCTGTAATTGATTGGACCCAAGGTCGTTCCACCAAATATGATCTGTTTGTTTTGAACTTTTGTTATATGTTGGACTTGAGGTCGTTTTGTTGTGACAAGAATTTGAGTATGAGATTATGTTAACTAATAGAACTCATTCATATAACATCTTTATTCTGATGTTATTCACTGAGGTTTAGCTCACTCCGTTATATATGTATGTAGTGGGATACCCAGCCTAAAAGAAGTTCAGTGTTTACCCAAGTTTTGTGATGTCAACCATGGAGCGCCTCACGGAAGAGGCTTTTGTTTTTTGTTTTGATTTTACCGGTAATGTTTGACCATCTTTTGTCTTTAAGGAGTTTAAGTTTTATAAGATCACCGAAGATACTTCTATGTTTAAGTCTTTGTATTTGAAGTCTGAAATGAATGTATAAAGAATGAGTGTTGTATGATTGTGAGTTATTAACGTATAAATGTTTTGTTTATTCCATATATGCACAGTTCAATGGACAATTTTTTATTATTCAACTTCCATTTCTGGCCCCATATATTAAATTATGATTTGATTTTCTGTCTGAGGCCGTAGGTAATCACATGATTACTGGCCGATTATGATCCAAACCTCTAAGGGTGGGTTTAGGTCATGACAAAAAGTGATTAAATTAAAAGTGAATAGACATGTGAATACATGAGGATAATGAGACAGAAGATTAGGATAGACAATTGGGCCAGAGGTTCCGGCTTTGTTTGAGAAGTAATTTTTTAAAGGTTTTTTGATTTTTTTTTTGGGGGGTCGGGAAGGGCGTTAAAATAGGAGATGAAAAAAATGTTTGAGGATGATTTTTTTAAAATTTTTATATTAAAAAAAATGTATAAAAAGTAAGGGGAATGAGGAAAAAAAAAATTTGACTTTTTGTATTATTTATAATTTATAATTTTTTTGACTTTTTACCTTTTTGGGTTATTTACACAAAGACCGCCTACACTATTGATAAGTATTAGTTTGACCCCCTAAATTATAAAAGCGTACAAATTAAACCCTTAAACTATTAAGAAGTACCACTTTGCCTCCTAAACTATAAAAGCGTATAAATGGATCTTCTAAACTATAAAAGCATTTTTACCACACACATACACACACACACAAGACACTACTCCCTTCGTCTCAAAATAATAGTCCCTTTTCGGGAATCTAACTTTTTTTGGTAGTATAACTATTTCACTTTAATAATATTAATTTTTCAAAATTACCCTTTGATAGTACATTTTTTTTGGAAATATCAATTGTCATAATTATACTTTTTGTATTGTTAATGAATTTAAAAAGAGAGCAAAATAGGAAATTCATATTATTTTAATCCTTGATTTTTGAAAAGGAACTAGTATTTTGGGACAATGAAAAATATAATAAGGAATTAATATTTTGGGACGGAGGGAGTATAAAAGTGTATCAGCTGGACCCCTTAGCTTAAACTATTGAGAAATATCACTTTGTCCCTTAAACTATAAAAGTGTACAAATGGACCCTCTAAACTATTGGCGTCTTTTACTTTGACCCTTTCTGCTAAGAGATCCAATTGATATACTTTTATAGTTTAGAAGATCCATTCGTACACTTTCATAGTTTATGGAGTAGAGTGATACGTCTTAATAGTTTAGAGGGTCAATTTGTACAGTTTTATAGTTTAGGAGGTAACATGACACTTCTCAATAGTTTTGAAGATCAATTTGTACGCTTTTATAATTTAGGAGGTCAAAATGATACTTCTCAATAGTTTAGAAATTAGGGCTCGTTTGGCATCTATGAAAAAAGATAAAAAGTCAAAAAATTACTAAAAAAATCAAAAAGTTATCACTATTTACAAAAAAAATATAAAAAAAATAAATTTACAAAAAAAAAGTACAAGTGAAAAAAGATGGTCTGAAGTGATGTGTTGCTGTCTGCAGTGTTGCTGGTACAAAAGTACAAGTCAAAAAGTTATCACTATTCGGTCTATTAGGGCCTATCACGAGTCTCATTTTGATAATCTAAACCGTTCAATGTGTAAAACCCGTCGAGTACTATATGCCTGTAAAAAAACATGTTGATCGAATATCGATAACTATATGATCAAATCATTTTTGTATAAAAAAATGGACGGTGCACAAAGTAACGCTTGACAAAAAACTAATCCGATCAAATAGCTATCGATATCCGGTCAACGTGATTTTTTATAAGAATATAGTATTCGACGAGTTCTACACGTTGAACGATTCCGATTATCAAAATGGGACCCGTGGTGGGCCCCCACAGCCTGAACAATACCATCTAGTCTGAATAGCACCGTAGACAATCTGCTCCTATACATCTTGCTGCCAACCGTATGCATGACGGTACCATCACTATCAGTTAACAATTATATATTTAGGGGTAAAATGGTAATTTTGTTATTTTATGCAATATTTTAATACATATTTTTTTATAAAAAGTCAAAAAGTTATCACAAACAATCATTTTTTTCCCCCTCTACTTTTTAGTCCAAAAACTCAAAAAGTGCACTTATTTAGGACATTCCAAACAACCCCTTAATATAAATGACCTTAATTTTTTAAATAGTTTTTTAACTTTTTAACCGTATTAATCTCTTTCCAAACATATCCTCAATTTCAAAAAGAAAATTATGTGATGGTCTTGGGACAAGCACACATGGTGTCCCAATTTGATATTTATTAGTTAAAATTGTGGAATTTAATACTTTTTGTTAATATTTTGAAAAATAATTTGACAAATATCAAATAATAAATAGTTTGTAACAATGTTCCATGACCATCAATTAATCACCCCAATTTCAAAGGCCTCTAGAGGCATGAAAAAGGGGTGAAAGGCTCATGATAAGCTCCTTTCCATATTTTCATTTCTCCATATTCTTTTTATAGTTCTCAATTTGGATTCGTACCGATGATTCAAACTATTTATCTCATAAGTTTCGTAATAAAGGTCATCTATGCAAAAAAATAAGTTTCATAGGAAAATTATAAACTTAAGAAAAAAATCGCATTTTATTTAATAAAATAAATCACAAATGTGATTGTAAACTTAAACAATCTATTTTATAAAATAAATTATTTTTTGTTTCTGTGTTTATAATTTTTCGATGGAACTCATTTTTTTGCATGAATAACTTCTATTACGAAACTTATAAGATAGACGATTTATATTATTAATGCGGATCCGAATTAAGACCTACAAAAGAAATATAAAAAAAATATAAAGAGATGAAGATATAAAGGGGAGTCTATCCCATAAAAAAAAACTCAAGCCCTTCCTAAAGAACCCCAAATCAACTATCTTTTATTGGTCAAAAGCATTGAATATGCTTATTTTTCTTACTTGGTAGGTTGAAGTATGAAACTTCCATAATCAATTAGAGTTGTTTATAATAAAAAAAATAAACAAATTAGAGTTGTTTCTTCGTGAAAAATATCCATCTAATCTTCCAACTAGCTTCCCTCTTTGAAGCCGAGTTCCTTGTTAATTGACAAACTAAAAGCAGAAATAAGTAATATTAAGGGAAGGGGTTTAACGAAAATCGACGTAATCAAATTGATCAAAATTTTAATTTTTAGTTTATTTTTCATAATTTATAATTTTTTTCAGTTTTGAAAAATTTTACATTAGTACAAACCGAACCGACTAAAATATTATATTTAAATATTTTTATATTTTAATTCTTTAAGTAACAAATAATAGATATTTTGTAATAAAAATTAGGGAGGAAGGTATAGAACAACTTTCACAATTTTTCTTCATTTATTTTTAATGTGAGATTTTATGTATTTTTATAAAATCTCATGGGAATCTTTCTTCCATACAAAATCGATAATAAAACCAAATCGTATCATATGGTTTGTTTTGGTTTCTCAATTAACAAAATCGAAAAGTTCAATTTGGTGCTAAATTCTCCCTCAATTTTGACTAAACCGAATCATTTACAGGAGAAGATTTTAGTCAAAAAGGCAATATAAAAATTCAACTAATTCTCTTTATTATTTTATATATCATTTTGTAAAAAATCACTAAAAAAATTAGTCCCCAAATAAATCCTAAGAGATAGTTAGGAAGCTCCAAAAAAATGACTGTTATATATTACTTGCTCTTTTCTTTTCTTTTTTTAATTGTTTTATATTATTAGATAACATGATAAGATATTATTATTTTTTATTAATTGCTTAATATTATCTCAAAATAAGGGAATCAACCATAAGTATCCAAACACCTGCACAGACTCTCAAAATAATAAAAATTATAAACAACTCCAATAAGTTTCTTGAAATATGACCATGTTAATGTTGATGAAGCCCATGAAATTGGTTGAATTTGTCTTTATTTGATTTAGCAAAATAAATTAATCATATTTTTTACAATATTTCATCTAAATAAATAAATTTAGGAAACAATTATGTGCTGCTTGTAACAGGATAACCAATCCCATGCCTTCTGGTAGGAAAGACCACAAACAACAAGCTGCATAAGAACCCAATTCCAATAGGAACTATGTCCAAAACCTCTTGAGTTTCATGAGCAGGCATTGGATAAAAGCAACTCACCACATTCTTATCCCTTAGAGCCAATGCAACAAGCACAAACACAGATGATATTGCATGAACAACATCAATGAAGCTTAGCCTGTATTTCCTCAAGTCAGGGAGGCCGGAACTCAAACCTGCTGCAGTTGGGTAATCAAACAACCACATCCCTTTGAATGTCACGAAGCCATAGTGAACTTGCCCGTCAGACGACCTAAAACTGTCGGTGAAGCAAGCGAGGAAGCACGAAAGGGCGAGGAGGACAAGGAGGATGAATGTCATGGGGCGCGTGGTGGAGTCACATGAACCGCTGTTGGTGAAGATGGGTGTGAGGAGTTGCAAGGCTAGAAGGGTGCCCGTTGGAAGGAGCTTCGCCAAGCTGGCTGTGCCTGTTAGGGTTTGGGAGAGAGCACGTTGTGAGAGGGACGGTGGTGGCGGTTGGGGCTTTGGGGTTTCGGGTACATCATCACCGGCAAAATCAGAAGTGGTGGTTGAGGAAGCTGTATCAGATACCAATGTTTCCTTGGTCGGAGTTGGTCTTGCTCTAAGAGACATTTCTTTTTTGGAGTTTGAGAATATGGATATATCGAACGATAGTGATGATGGTGATAGTAGCGGTAGGGATGGAGGCAGATTGGATATATTTTATCAGGATATTGGTGTGATGGTGGTGGTGGTGGTGGTGGTGGTGGAGGAGGAGGAGGAGGAGGAGAGAGAAGGGTAATTAAAGGAAATGTGGTTTCATGAAAAGAAGTGAGGGACAAGTCATATGTATTGTTGCTGGTGTTGAAAGATAGTGAAATTTCAATCCTTTTGACATGATCAATTTAATGTGTCGGCTCTCATGGTCGCATGCGTGACGTTATAGAGGACTTGATCAACATATCAATTTGTATGTATGGTTTTAATGATATATATCTATTTAACTACTATTTTAAAGGAAAATTATAATATAGTTCAAGATAAATTCATTGGGTATTTTAATTTGTATTATATTAGTTGAAATACTAGAATTTATCATTTTTATGTTAGTTTTTAAAAGACGATTAAACATGAGTCATAAAATAAATGATGTGAAACAATATTTCGAATCCCGTAAGACCGTCAAATAACCTCTCATTTTTTATAGGTGCATTCAGGTAGGTTTGTCTAATGCAGAGTTGTCATTATGAAAAATGAAATTTTTTGGTTGCAAAATACATCATAGTTTGATGTTTAGATCATTTGAGATTCAATAATACTATAATCTTAGAAAATTTATCTCAAATTTTATTCAGAAATATCATTTTGTGACTCAAATTCATTTTATACTCGGACCCGGCCTATACCAACTCAATTTCCACTATAAAAACACCTTATTCAAAAAAATTTGGGACCAAAATTCTAGGACGATAGCATTTGTGTTTGAAATTAAGGATTGATATAATGGATGAGATGCTTTTTATCAATAGGATATCAGGATTGAATCCTATGACCTGCATTTTTAGTAGACCCTTTTATCATTCTTTAATATCTGAGTAACAAATTAAAGCAAATAGATTCATCTTATTAGCTGTGTCTTGTTCACCTATTAACCCATCCAGAAGTGGGTTGTTGTGGAAATCTGGTCATACTCCCTAAAGTATCCTTGACTTATTATTATTTTGGGTTGAGACTATTCCTCAATAAACAACTTCTTTTGCTTCAAAAGGAATATCTTGCTTTTCAAATTGGGTCATGATTGAGACCCCCTCCAATCACCACCCCCATCACCCCCACACACACGTGGCAGGTGGTGATTGGAGGAGACGGAAAAAAAAAAAAAAAAAAAAACTGGCCAATCATATTAAGAGGGGTCAAAGGAGGTGGGAGGGAAAGGGGGTCCGGAACATTATTGTTTATATATGGTTTAATTAGGCCAATCTTTTGCTTGTTATGTGTGCTTTTGCAGCTTTTATCATTTATCAGATACAATTCACTTGATAAATAATCATTATATTGATCTTCTTGAAATTTTCTTGAAAATCTCTTTAATTGCCCACCCAAACATCTTTGTCAACACCCTATTGCCTATCTAACTAGGTAATCCTAACAAGAAGTCAATAGAAGCCTATCTAATTAGGATTATAAAATTTGCTTGTTTGGTTCAAATGGTGTAATTTTATAGAAAAGAGAAAAATATTTGGTTTCTAATAGTTGCTGCCAATAATGTCTTCCATTTTGTTTTTGAAAACAAAAACTTATTTAGTATATTATTTTCATTTTCTTTAAAATGGAATCAATTTCATAAATTTTGAAAGAAAAAGAAAGAAAAAAAAATTAATTTAAAAATAAATTTTCATTCTCTCCTCCCTCCCCTACCACCCCCCAATGGCCGCCACCTGCAACCACTAGCGACCGTCGGCGACCCTCCGATCACCTTCAAGCACCCTACTATGACCTCCAACGACATTCTCACGGCCACCACATCTAACCATCCTTACCGTCGACAGCCATCTTCAACAACTAACTAAACATATCTCTTTGCTTTTATCTTCATTTATTGTGAAATCAAAACATTTTTTTTTAACCAAAAAAAAAAAAAAAATGATTTTCTATTTTACTTAAACAAAAGACAAGAAACTGACAGAATAACCCTGAATGCTTGCGAATAATGTGTATCAATTACAATCGAATGCAACACCAAGAGCAGTCAAACCTAGGACATTCAGACTTATAGTTCATTCTATGGCAAGCAGCTTTATCACTGGGCTATCCATGCAGATTCTATGTAGAAGACAATTCATGCTTAGGACTCAAAAAAATCACTCCTAATCAGATTATCATAAACCCTGACTCTTGTTGTGTTCTTTCTATGACAAGCCAATTTATCACTGGGATATCAATGTGGGTTCTATATAGATGAGAACTCATGCTTTGGACTCTCACACAAAAGTCACTCCTTATCTGATCATCATATTGTGAATTGTGATGTCTTTTAGAAGGCACTACTTAGAAGTTATGCTATGCCAATGAAGCCTTTTTAGAGGGCACTCTCCATTGCTTAATAACACATGGGCCTCTTACTACACCAACATATTTTCCAGCAATACTCTGACCATTAGCACTGTCAAAATTGCTTCTCCAAGTTAGTCATGGTCACCACCACTGGGTCTAAGACCAGTTAACGACATGGACTTGAGAGTCTGTTTGGTGCAGCTTCTTGCAAGCTAAATACTAAATAATTAGAAAACAAAAGCTAAAAGCACACTTTCCACTGATACTCAATAATCAGATTTTTTCAGCTTATATAATAAGCAAGCTATTTCTGCATCACAAGCTATAAGTCGAAGCTGAATCAAATATGTTCAGCCATTTATTACATCCTGGTAGAGTTTCTGCCATTGTTCAAATATTACATTACCTCATGGTTCTTGCTGTGGCTCCTTAAGCATGAATGACTTGAAAGCATTGGTCAAAGCAGATCCTGATATCAAAGAAGCCACCAATAGACGCAAAGCCTGCACTTTTGGATGTATTCACAAGTTAGTGAAATGGGACTCATACAGTCAAGATATTGAAACAGCAAGAAGAGTGAGGTGAGACAACAAATTTTGACACAATGATGAATGCAGTTCTTCTATGAACTTTTGTGTGAGAATTTGTCGTGATGTGAGTGCAATTTTTTAAAAACATTGATGATGTAGATGCAGGATGATTAGGGACAAGGCCGTAAGGACTGTAAAACAGACTTTCTGTGGGTTTTACACTGGTTAGGGGCTGTTTTAGGGTGCTGTGAACAGGCTGCAGGAATTGAAGAAAGAAAGAAAAAGATAGATTTAGGAATCATTCCTAGATTCCATAAGCATCACACCTAGGGTTTGATTGCATCACACAATCCATAAAGAAGCTTCAAAGCTCTCAAATTTTTATAAAATATCAACTCTCCCAAAATATAAACATTACATGGCTTATATAGAACTAGAAGACTTCCTAAACCAACTATAATAAAAAAAGGAAACTATTATAATATCTTTGACTTTCAAAATTAATCTAAGACTAAATAAGAAACAAAACAAAGACTAATTAGATAACTTGTCCCACAAGACGACCCACGGGCGACCCAACACAACACATATTCTGAAATTATGCAAATTACCAAAATACCCCTATATTTAAAATCCTAAAAAATATAAATATAATTATAAAATAAAACTCTAATAATACTACAAACATAATTATTTAAGATTCCTATCAATTTCCCTTATCCAAATATCATTACTTCTTTGAATTTAGCATTCCTTGAGCTTTTTATACTCCGCATCAATTGAATTTATAACATATCTCCAGTAATATTTAATAATGAGCAAATTTGACTTTACCTTCCCATGGTTTGTCCCATGTGTGGATGACTTCCGTCATTTTGGAAATAAGCAAATAGCTCCCTATAGTTTGTGCACCAAAGTACATTGCATTGCTTTTCTATCCATGTTAACAAGTTGTGAGAAAGCCATGTGCCTACGTGGATATTTTTTCAGACACTATCTTTAAATGTACAAAAAAAAAAATGTTGCACATCTCTCTCACCCATTGCCCTTTCGCCACTCATGTATGGCAACACAAAACGAACCTCTCAACCACAAACCCTGATGCTGACACCTATGCTACACACCCAACTCTCTCACCTAATCTCATAGCCCCAATTTTCAAAAGACCCAAAGCAAAAAACTCACACTCACTTTCAAGAGTTGAATCTTGGAACATAAATAAGTTAAGAGATCTTGAAATTAGGGATGGGTTGGGCATACATAATCATACTCCTACCTTTTATCATTGTCAATATATTCCATATTTTGCTAATTGTTGTGGTGATCATCATTCAATTCTACAACTTGGAGAATATAGAGAGCACCCCAATTTTTCAAAGGGAACAAAGCACCCTTGACATTTGTTCTCCATTGTTAATTGATGGGGAAATTTAGCCAAAACCCCTCTATTGGACCCTTATTTGGTGAAATAACAATCCAATTTATTTTTCTTCCTAAACCCCTGAGGAAGTGCATAATTGAGTAAGGACAGAGTAATATTTTTTTTCTTTCTTGGATAATATTGCCCATGCGTATATATATCTCACAGAAATCTTTTGAAGAGAAACACTTTTATTTATTTTATCCAAGTTTAAAAATGTTGTGTATGTATATTTTTGGTTGGTTCATCTACTATGTAATCTGTTTTCTGTAATAGTAAATTGTTACTGTGAACCAGAGTAACATGTTACTGTTTACGTCAATTTCGACAGTATTTTTTTATTTATTTATAAGAATTTTATAGTCAACATAGATCTTGTTTGATAGATTTTGATAAAAGAATTCTAAAAATACTAATTTTATTAAAAACAGACATCTAAATTAGAAGTTATATTATTTTAAAGTTTAAAATATAAAATTACTCAACTAAGTATATTTTGGTAATAGTGGAATGTTTTGGACTTTTCAAGGAAAACTTTTTGTGCTTGTCCTTAATACATTAAAGTTTTACTATGAGCGGGTTTTGACCAAATCCCCCTAATTCGGGGGATATGAGGCTACAACTTACGCAGAATAAGAGCTACACCATGATCTGCCCACCACCGACAGCAGCCCTCCATCAATATCGTTGACCATCACCTTATCTCTCGCACCTCCTCCTCTATATGTGATTGATAGCAATAGTACTAGCTGGTGTGCTTTGTTTAGTATTTATTATTTTCTTTAGGATTGCAAAACATTGGTTGGTGTGCTTAATTTATTGTTTAGTATTTTTTTGTATTGCAAAGTATTGGCAGGTGTGTTTTGTCTGTTTTTTATATGTTTTCGTGTTGATATAGGACTTAGACTTTGTTGTTTGCTTAAAATCTTAGACTTTTCTGTAGCACTTGCATGCGTTTAGTCTTCACTAAATTACTTACGAATGGTTTTGAAAATGCATTTTTAAAGTTTTTACTTGGTCTAATTTGAAAAGTCGTATGCTCGAATAGCATACAATTTTTTTTCCTCAATTATTTTCTACTCACTGGTTATCCATAGTGTGTGTATACATATAGGTTCAAAGGAAGACGATGAGAGTATTTGGATAATTTACATCTGTCATTTACGGAAGTAATGATACACTTTAGTCTACAAACCATAGCAGCCTAGGTGCTCATTTCCAAATGACAAGGGGTCATTTGTGTTAAGTCACCAATTTTACATGTGTCATTGACAAAAGTAATGATACACTTTGGTCCATACACCATAGCAGCCTAGTTACTTATTTCCAAATGACAAGGGATCATTTGTGTTTAAGTCACCCGCTTTCCCAAAAGTTCAAGTTGTTAGGAAATGGGCCCTACAATGTATATTAAGTTATTCAACACCCTCCTTCACGTGCAACCCCATCTTGCACATGGAGATACAAACATCCATTCATTAAGAGAAAAGAGAATGCAAAAGGGAACCAAATGCAAATGGAGAGACTTGAACCCAAGGACCTACCAACTTGAGCTATGATACTACGCTAAGTCACCAATTGCCCCAACAATGTATATCAAGCTATTCAACAATACGCACATGGATCAAGCCACATGGTGTAAAGTGAATTTAGTCCTAGAATTTGACAGTTGAAGGACCCATGGTGAACTTGTGGTGCAACTGTGCAAGCCAATGGATTCTAGACGTAGCAAGTAAGGCTTGTGCTAATTCCTTAAAATGCTTCAATAGAAATAACTTGACAGTAGTTAAATTACCTCATCCTTGCCCATGGTCACCTCCAATTCGCCGACATCACTGAGGGGAACCTTTAACCTGTTCATAAGAGATATGCCTGAGATTGGAGATATAGGTTTTATGAGCAAATTGTCTGTCACCATGAACATGGACGGTCCTTTCATAAATCCACTGCTCATCTTAGCTTCCCCAGGAGGGGGCTTTGAACTCAACTCAGAGCATCTTGTTGTAAAAAAGGAACGAAAGGTTGAGAATGATGGGTTTATAGCTTCCTCAATGCCAATTAGTTTGTTACAACAAGCAAGACCTGGGGCTAGTTTTGGATCGACTAGAATTGCCTTCATCTCTTCTGATTGGAAGAACTTGTCATCGCCAAAATCTTGGATACTCTTGTATATGTTATCCATGCATCCCTTGAAGGGCAAACTTGGAAATTCTTTGAAGACATAACCAATTGGAAGTACAAGTAAACTGCATAGAAGCTCAATGAAATTTTCTTCAACTTCAGCATACAATGCCCTTTTGTTAGATTTGTGGATGATAAGCTTCAAGTTTATCTTTGAATGTTTAGTTGTTGTGTTCATATCGCTTTGAGGTTTATCTGTTCTTGGTCCATATTCTCCACGATGAATCACAACATTAGTCTTATCGATAGGCGGTTGCATAAAAGTGTTAGAGAAGGGAGTCCTTGATGCTAATGAACAGTTTAGCAATTTCAGAACCTAAGAGAAAGAGATGTACTGTAAAATGGTATGAAAAAACATTGAATTTGTTTATGTGTAATAAGAGAAACAACTAATCAATTTATTAATTACCTCATCCTTTCCGATGTTCACAGTTCTCTCTTCTATTTTGCTCCCATCCATCACTCCAAGTTTGCTAAGCAGAGAAAAGCCAGTCATAGTGGACATTGGCAATACTTGAAAATCATCCGTTATCATAAAGTGTGCAGTTGGTTTTACAAACCCTGTGTCATCTTCAGGAGCTAGACTTAAAATTACCTCAAGTTCCAAGGGGTTTCCACAGCGGCAACAAGCAGATTCAGTACAGCTCACAAAACTGCAATTACCACTGCGACACACATAATATTTGCCGTTGTTACTTCCATTCAAATTTAGTTTTAGATTCCTACAGTAGATTTCAGCTGCACTTCGAGGATTAAGTATTATCTCCTTGAACCCACTTTTGAAATGTTCCTCATCAAGATTCTCTACACTTCCATATAAGTTTTTCAAGCAGCCAATCTCACCCTTCAATGAGTGCTCACGAGCGAGTCTAATGATTGTTCCAATAGGCATTGTCATGAAGCTGAATATAATGTCAACAAAATCCTTATTTGACTCCACAAAAACAACTCGGTTTTTTTCCTTCTCCACAAGGATATTAAAACTTATGCTTTGAGAAGCTTTGCTCTCCATGATCTTGAATGAAAATGACTGACTAACTTGAAGAAACAAGCATTTGCTAAACAACTTTTGGCTTTTCTTGGATCTATCCTGTGTATCAATCACTACAAATCCTGTGTATCAATCACTACAAAAAGTAAGTAATTGAAGAACTTGTCAAAAGCTATTCATCGCACCAATAGTAAATAAAATGTACGTGCTTATGCAATGACTGAACTCTGTGTTAGAAAACTAATAATTTACTACCAAATATATCAATCATCACGATCCAAAATGCAAGTGCATATCTTTAATTATATCAACAATTCCATAATCCTAATTAACCAGTGCATAATTTAAGGGGAGGGGGAATTAAACGACATATAATGGCTACTTTTCAAAAAAAAATGATATCTATTTTTACTTTTACACCATTTCTGGGCACAAAAGGTAGTAAGGTACACTCGAAGGCATATCTATCCTCCTCTTCCCAAGGATGACGATGATATAATAAAAGGTGGCAAAAGTTATATCAACATTAAAATATATATCAATTAAAACGAGTTTTAGATAATCATCATAAGTTCAAATCAATTTCTTATATGTTAAATTTTTTTTATATTTTATACCAAATAATGCCATCACCACAAGATATTTTTTAAGGTCTACACCCTATGACAACATAACAAATAGTGCTAATCTGAAATAGCATATATTGAAACCTTTAGCAACATACCTTGCTGTGCCCTTGTGCCGCCACAAGTGGCGTTTTTATTGGATGAATACAATGGTAGACTAGTAGACTTCTCCATTGCAGAAAAGCCTTTGGACACTGACACGGTCACACAAGGCAAAAAACACCAATGGCCCACAACAAAATTATCATGCACTAAAGGTTTACTCGTTGTTGAACAGATTCGGAAAGATTGAAGTGCAGAAGGGTTTATGGTATGTGTAAACCAACATATTAGTGGAAGAAAAACATAGTCGGACTTACCTCAATTCACTGTAAATTGAATCCAACCAATAATTTTCTAAACAAAAGCAAATAGCATGCTCCAAAATACTCGAACAATCGCAAACAAATCTCTCAAGCAATGGAGTAATACCACAAGTATGAGTGCAACCCATTATTCTATAATACAAAGGCTCTATATTGTCCAATATTGGCAGAGAGGAAGAATATTGGAAGATGCTATAAATAGACTATAGGACAATTATGGAGGTCTAGAGAGAAAAGATGTATAGGATTTTATGCATACAGTCTCTCACTTCCCAAATAGTGTGATTGGGATAACCACCCTAATCTCGAAGGTAGCAAGGATTTGAGTAATCAAATTTGTATCTCTCTACTGCCAAAAGGTAATCGGGCCGTGCCACCATGTGCGCCCAAATTTGGGTCGAGCCCGACCAAATATCCAATAGTATGACCCGGGTTTATAAGGCTTATTATAATTATTTAAAGCATCGAACAACGCAAAATAGTATTAGAGAAAGTAAGAAGAAACAATTGAAGGAAAAACAGGAGAACTAGCAAAAAGATAGGAAGACGAATGAAACAAGGGGGAAAAAAATTAGCAAGCATGCTGTTTTGATGAATAAATTGACCTTAGAAGTTGAAACCAGACTATCCAAACCACTCCAGAAGGCGAGTCTGGCACAAGTATGAGCCAGTGGACACCAAATGGAAGTGACTCAAGAAAAAAAATCCATTATTGCAGGTAACTTGTAGACCCAACAACTTTGTTGTACATTTCTTTCCACATTTCCAAGGTAGACAAATTGGTAAAACCTTCCACAACTTTTGCAATCTCCATTCCTAATCTTAAACCACCAAGCATTGAATGATTCAAGCAAATCCAGTCAAGGAAAACAAGACCACTACTTAATCATGGAAACACTTCACTTGGAACATACAATTTACTCTCTGCAGGCCCCTATGCACAGGTAAATCCTTCTCCATTGAATGTTAATGCCAAATTTTTCAAAGAAGAACAAACTTCTTCAAGCTCCCAATGTTGAAGGTTTTTCAAGAAACCAGGATTCCATTGCATCCTTCTCTTCCCTCGACCATAAAATTCACATCTAGAACATCTTTATTCATCACCAAGTAGCACAAAGACCCATTTTTCCACTAAACCGCTTCCTAAACTTTACTTCCATGCCATTCTCCATTTAGAACATGCTACCCTGGGGAAATATCCCTAACAATATTTGTTAATAGAATTTCATAATCCCAACCTACAACCAGATCCCACTTTTTCCACTACCATCTTCATTTCCCACACTTCGTTCGCACATTTTATTTTTTCAAGAAAATCCCCTAAGCCATTTACATTACACATTAGGCATTGGCACTTGAATTATATACACCAATGTCCTTGTTTAAAGCCTGCAACCTCTCTAGCAAAACATGAAGCTTGAGTAACCAATCCCACTTTTTCCACTACCATCTTCATTTCCCACACTTCGTTCGCACATTTTATTTTTTCAAGAAAATCCCCTAAGCCATTTACATTACACATTAGGCATTGGCACTTGAATTATATACACCAATGTCCTTGTTTAAAGCCTGCAACCTCTCTAGCAAAACAATGGGTTTTTTTTTTTCTTCTTTTATTTTTTCATTATTTATTTTTTATTATGAACCCCTCCAAGGTAGGGCCCATTGGACCCACCCCAACAGGTAAACCCCATGTGACATAAGGGAGCCCCCATCCTCAGACCAGGTTAGTTAGGAGATTCAAACTCTTCTTAGTTGTGTGGGAAGCATACCAATCAACCAATTCAGATGACCCCCGGGGCAAATTGCATTCTAATTCGTTGGATAGAATTCAAACTAACTCCCAATTCCCACGCAAAGTAGAAATAGCAACTTCTCCAACTATCTAGCAAACACACCAAGTAATAACATCTTAATCAACTGTTCACTCCATTTAGAAAGGGATACTTGTGGCCTTTCTATGAACCAAAAACCCATTCGGATTGAGGGGTTTAGTGAAAAAAAGAAAAGAAATTGTGAGAAAGAGAACTTTCATCACTTTTTGGATGATTGAGGAGGTGAAAATTTATGAGAATTGTGAAAGAAAGAACTCTCTTGCAACCCATGTTTTGTTTCTCTCTCACCAAATTTAGTGATATTTGGCTAGAAAAAAAATGTTACTTTATAAATAAAAGACGACGTGTGTCATTTTATTTTTAATGTTTTGTGTATAGATGGCCAGTTTAGGTATTTTGCAAAAAAATAAATAATTATAAAGTAACTTTTGTTTCTCGCTAAATATCACCTATACACACAAAATATTAAAAATAAAATGGCAAACATGTCCTATTTTATTTATTGTTCATCCAAACACAATGGTAAAAAATCAATATCTTTCTTTTCTTTTCTTTTCTCATCTAGTTAAGAAACTACATCCCTACCATTTCTTTTCTCACCTTGTTGCAAAGACATTGATACCAATTAACCTAAGCCTTTTTCTTACCAGGCAAGTCAAAGCCTTCTAGTTATGGAAAAGGTGTAATCATGGAACATTAGGGGTTTGCGAAGACCCGGGAAGAGATCAAAAATAAAGAGTATAGTTCGGGTGAGGAAGGTAGACGTCCTGCTGATTCAGGAAACTAAGAGAAGCTCAGTAGATGAAAAAAAACAAAAACAAAACAAAGAATGAACAAAGAAATTAAAGATTAGATTTTCCCAAGAACCTTTGTTACCTGTTTGTATGTCATACACATACACTTTTGGACATATATGGTGTACAAATATATATTTCTCTACCCTCCACACCATAACATGATCAGCACCAGTGGTGGAGCCACCATAGGTACAAGAGGGGCACATGCCGCTCCTCAACTTTTTAATAATTACATTTTGGCCTAAGATTTTGAGAACATTATTCATATATGTTCCCTAAATCTTTCCCATTCTTACTCCAATAAACACGACACACCATTGACTAGAATATGGACATAGATTGACTCCCCTTATTTACTTCACAAATAAATCTAAGAAATCATTTTATTTTATTATGTGTATTTTGTTGGCATTTTTAATTTTTATTTTCATTTCTTATTGCTTGAGAGTTCTATAAATTTAAATGGTGCGATAGTTTTATTGTAGTTGCATGTATGATATGTAATAATTTTGAATTGTTAATAATTAATTTTTTACCAAATCAAAAACCAAACTAAACTATGTTCAAATTCGATCCTACTCAATAATTTGTCATAATCTTGCCTCCCCTCAAACAATTCCTAACTTCACCACTGATTGACACGATGAAACATGGTGGAAATTTCCTCAAAAAATGAAACAACTAGAAAAAAACCAACACCAACTTTAACACCCCATTTAGATGGAGTGATTTGGTGTTTATAAATTAGGTGAGACATAGCGAGAAAGATAATTCTCTTATTTTATAGATTTTATTTTCATAAAAACTAGTGCGATTTATTGAGAAACGTATTGGTCATAATACCAAGATGGGAAATGCTATTGTAAAAGAATTACAATTTTGTGATAAAAAAAACTAACAATTTTTTTGTGATGAAAGTTATGAATGCTGAATTTATGATGTACACCTAAAAGTTATGTGCATATGGTATGCACTTTATGCAAAAAGCGTAGTTTTATCACAAAATGTATAACTTTTGTCACAAAAAGTACAAAGTTTTTTCTTAACAAAAAATAAATTTTTGCTTCTCACAAAATGTATATCTTTTATAACAAAAATATAGCTTTAGCTATACATAACTTTTAGGTGTACATCATATCGAGGATATTTTATTTTGCCCCCCAAACTATCACTTGAAAATCAATTCAACCCCTATACTTTCAATTATATCAATTTTACACCTAAACTATTCAAATTTGGATCAATTTCACACCTGCCATCTATAATTAGACGGCACTTGCTGTCATCTTCATTTGAAATTTCATTTTACCCCCAAAATATCAATTAGACCTCTAAACAATACGAAGTTTGGGGGTCTAATTGATATTTTGGAGATAGTTTGGGGGGCAAAATAAATTTTTAAATGAAATTTCGGTGTCATGTCAACAACTTTCGTTTGATTATAAACAGCAGCTAATGGCAAGAGTAAAATTTATCTAAAATCAAATAGTTTACGTGTAATATTGAAATTATAAGAAGTATAAAGGTTAAATTGATCATCGAGGCATAGTTTAGGAGGTAAAATGAAATTTCATCCATCATAACTTCACCATCACAAAAAAAATGGCAACTTTTATCACAAAAATTATAACTTTTTTTTACAATGAGTAAGTGCACATTGTTGCATTTTCCTATTAAGATTAGGGAATGGCTTCCCTCCAGTCCGATCACGGACTAGAGGGTACTATTGGGCCTGTGGGGGCCTATCAAAGGTCCCATTTCGATAATCCGAACCGTTCAACATGTAGAACTCGTCGAGAACTGTATGCCTATAAAAAATCATGTTGATCGGATATCGATAGCTATGTAATCAAATCAAATTTTTGTAAGCCATTTATTTTTCACCTTCCATTTTTTTTCATACAAAACTAATTTGATCACATAGCTATGGATATTCGATAAACGTGATTTTTTTACATGCATATAGTACTCTACGAGTTCTATACATTGAACGGTTCGAATTATCGAAATGGGACCTGTAATGAGCCTTCACAGGCCTAACAATACCGTCCAATCCATGATTGAACTGGAGGGAAGCCATTCCCTTAAGATTACCAACTGGAATATAGCATGAGAAAAAAAAATTCACCCATATCCCTCTGCCGCATACTTATTTTTCTTATCCATCCAAACATGATAATGGCAAAACAATTAGTGTGTTTTGGTTTCAGTTTTCTCTGAAAATTAAGTTTTTTGTTTTTCTTCGATTTTTTTGTCTTTGAGTGAATATATTTTAAATTTTAAGCATTTTTTAAACTTTTTTAGATCCATATATCTAAAAAATAAAAGATTTGTGAAAAAATATTTTAAAAAATTAATAAACATACAAAAATACAAAAAATATATTAAATTTTTGTATTTTTGGTATTTAGTGAATTTTTTAAAGATTTTTGCGCGAAAATTATATTTTTTAAGTGTATTTAGGTTAGGTGTATCTAAAAATTAAAAAAAAAAATTGCTTAAAATATTAAAAAGATTCAGTAAAAATAAAAAAATATGAAAAACAAAAAAAATAGAATTTTCTGAAAAATATTTTCAAACAACTAGAAACAAACATAGTGAATAATTTTTTTTTCCCATTTTCTGATCGAGTGATACAAACAGAGCGTAAACTACATAACCCATGAAGGCGAAGAAAGCAAAAAAGTGTAAGAGGCAAACAACTATTTGAAACCCATTAAAAAAATGATCGAGTAATGTACCTGTGAGACGCACAACAAGGCCAACGCAGCCTTCAAGTTTGAGTGTATTGTTGAAGTCGGATGATGAGATTAAAAAGAAAAAGGTTTTGAGAATTGGGAACCACAATGGTAAGCACGGAATTAGGGTGGCTACTGTTGTATTCTCATTTCGGAAATAATCAACTCTTTTTATTTAGGGTATATTCAATAAAATATATTTATAAAAAGTTAAATTAATTTGATATTGATAATTTTATTAAATTACATTTGTATAAAATTTTATATTTTAAATTTCATTTATTATTTAGTTTTTAGATATAAATATAATTAAATAAAAATATTATTAATATCTGATTAATTTAATTTTTTATAAATATATTTTATACAATATATTTTAAAAAATAAATAATTTAAATTATCAAAATAAGTTTTAAAATGAATTTCACGAACCGCACTCCACAATTCCAATAACCACATAGGCACAAAAAAGTATCAAAGGTGAGGGCCGACTCTCCTTTCATTTTCTTCTTCTTTATCTGCCTTTTGATGCACACTTATTTTTCAAGATAAAATATAAATACATCATATTTGTTTAAAATGTAATTATTCTTTGTGTATTTTTAAAATTATAAATATTTTTTTATTAAAATTTTTTATTTAATAAAATTAATTAAAAAATAAGATTTCTAACCACTCTCTTATATAATAATAAAATTATCTAAATTATTAATTAAAATATATTTGTGACATCATTAAAACTGTTAATTAATTTAATAATTTATTAGTAAAATAGGTTATTTGTTATGTGATTATAAATTGAAGTGACGAGACGTAATTTCTAAAATTACAGAAGACAATCTATATTTTAATTAAAGGTTTGGCTTCTCTCAATATATCATTCCAACTTGAGAGATCGTTTAGGCTTGGTAGGCTCATTTTGAAACCGATTTTGGTAATCCAAAACGTTTATTTTTTTGAATTTGTTTAGTAGAATATTTATGTAAAAAATAAAATAATTAGACATCAATAGCTATATGTTTGAATCATATTTGTTTTAAAAATCAGATAGCAAATACAATTTTAAGAATAACGATCTATTTTTTGTAATGTAAATTTGACAATCATCTTATTTTTTGCATGAATATTCTACTCAACAAATCACAAAATATGAACGGTTCAAATTATCGAAACAAAATATGTGGTGGGTTCCACAGACCCTTCAAGTTCTCTCATATTGAGATGTGAATATGAGAGAAAGCTAACCCTTTAAATAAACCTCAAAAGATGTACTTGTAATTTATCCTATTTTTTATAAACCATATGTAAATTATGATAACTTGTTTTACAATTGTTATAATTAAATAATTTTTAGTCATAACTAAAAGAAATACAATAAGTCATAACCAAATATTGTTCGAGGCATAACTAATGACTGTCATAATTAAAATAAAATAATAACCACGATAAGTTATGCCCAGCACGACAATGGCCTCGTTTAGCAGAGTTGTAGAAAGTGATTATAGATTATAACTTACAGCTGTGAATATAAGCTGGTAACATGTTTGGTGCAGATGTGAGATTATAGATTTAAGTAGCGGAGTAGTGTTTGGTAAATAAGCTGTAAAATAGCTTTTGCTGTGTAATTGTCATTTTTGCTCTTATGAACAAAAAACAATTGTAATTTTGTCATTTTCTTCACTTTAAATTTTGAAAATTTTATTTCATTAATGGAAGTTGATATAATTAGTACCTAATTTGGTACAATTAAAGTCTAACTCCTAATTTGGTACAATTTTGAAAAAATTGTGATTATGTTTTTATTAAATTTTTTTCATTACAATTAATAATATAACAATTATTATTCTTTTAATAGAAGTTATTTAATTGAAATAAATTTATATCAATATTCATTGAAATAAATCGTGCAATTTATTTCTTTATTTAAATTGTGTAATTGTGAAATAAATTGTGCAATTTATATCAATATTAATTGTGAAACAAATTGTGCAAGTTATTTCTTTAGTTTTCTTTTATTCTCTTAATTTTTTTTTCTTTTTCTTCATTTTATTTATTTTTTCTTTTTTGTTCTTTTCTTACATAGTAATTATATTCATGTATTTATATTAATGTTGTGATTTCATAACATATTATTTTTTTTTATATTCATTTTAATTTATTATCAAATAATGGCTTAATTAGTATCAATTAATATACAATTTATTTCATTAATGGCTGAAAATGCTTTTTTTTATTATTATTATTATTATTATTATTATTATTATTATTAAAGAAACACTAATCCAAGCATTTCCCCATGAATATCGACAGCAGAAACATTGATCGATTGCGATGGGAGATTGAGATCGCGACGGCGGAAGGTCTCTAAGCATTTCCCCATGAATACCCACCTCTGATCCAAGCACTTGTTCAAGCCCACCCTTTTTCATTTCTGATACAACCTTCCCAACAATGATTACAAGCAATCCATCAATTGTCTTCTTGTCACAGTTAGTGTGCCTATTTGGTAGAGCTTTTTTCCAGCATATTTCAGTTTTTAGCTTAATTTAAGCTATTTTACTGTGTTTGGTATAGCTTAATAATACAAATTATAACTTTTTATAAGTCAAAAATTAACTTTTTCTTGAAATGGCTATGGGGGTGCTTAAGAGATTCAGCTTAAACGGCAAGCTGGGAAGGAAGGGACAAAATTACTTAAATGCCCCTCATCAACTTCAACTATTACCAAAAGCCCAATATATAAAAAAGTGTTAAGGATAAGGAACCCACTAGTGCAAGTGCATCAGCACCATCTTCTCATGCATCAGCATCAGATGCAATCACAGCTCTCAATGGATGTGAAAAAAAATTTCGTCACCTATTATTTTATTTATTTTATGCATTTGGTGACGAAATTTTGTTTTCGTCTCTAAAAATAGTATAATTAGAGACGAAATCTTATTTTCATCACTAAAACATGTATATTTGGAGACGAAATAGTTTTTGTCATAAGTTTTCGTCACCATAGACCTTTTTTGTTGTAGTGAGATACACCCATTCTAATCACCCAATCAGTGACCAAGAAGAAGAATCAAAGGATGATGGAACCATGAATGAGTTCTTGTCCCGATTCGTCTGGCTAATGCGTGGTAAACTCTCTAAAGTCTACACAAACTGTGACAAGAAGACAATTGATGGAATGCTTTTAATCATTGTTGGGAAGGTTGTATCAGAAATGGAAAAGGGTGGGCTTAAACAAATGCTTGGATCAGAGGTGGGTATTTATGGGGAAATGCTTAGAGACCTTCCGCCGTTGCGATCTCAATCCCCCATCGTGATCGATCAGTGTTTCCACTGTCGGTATTCACCAGGAAATGCTTGGATCAGTGTTTCTTTAATAATAATAATAATAAAGCATTTTAAGCCATTAATGAAATAAATTTCATATTAATTGATACTAATTAATAATTTTAGTATTAATTGATACTGATTAAGCCATTAATTGATAATAAATTAAAATGAATACAAAAAAATAACATGCTATGAAATCACAACATTAATATAAATACATGAAATATAATTAATATGTAAGAAGAGAAGGAAAAAAAAGAAAAAATAAATAAAATTAAGAAAAAAAATTAAGAGAATAAAAGAAAAATAAAGAAATAACTTGCACAATTTATTTCACAATTAATATTGATATAAATTGCACAATTACACAATTTAAATAAAGAAATAAATTGCACAATTTATTTCAATTAAATAACTTCTATTAAAAGAATAACAATTGTTATATTATTAATTGTAATGAAAAAAAATTGATAAAAATAGAATCACAATTTTTTCAAAATTTTACCAAATTAGGAGTTAGACTTTAATTGTACCAAATTGGGTACTAATTATATCAACTTCCATTAATGAAATAAATTTTCAAAATTTAAAGTGAAGAAAATGACAAAATTACAATTTTTTTGTTCATAAGAGCAAAAATGACAATTACACAGCAAAAAGCTATTTTACAGCTTATTTACCAAACACTACTCTATTACTTAAATCCATAATCTCATAGCTGCACCAAAAAGGTTACCGGCTTATGTTGAAAGAGTTTATTCATGTGTTAATAGGACTTAATGAAAATTTCATTAGAAAAGTAGGAAGGACTTATTTGATATTTTCTTGTTAAGTTACCCAGACCTCCTTAAGGTTTGGAGAAAGTACAATAAGTTTTACAGTTTTCATATAATTACACAAACTTTTCTTTTTGTAAGATTAAATAAATAAAAATTAATACAGATAACATGAAGATACAAAGATATACAAGGTGAAATATACATTTCAATGTAAAATATATAATAATATTATTTTTTTATTTATACAATTAATGAATTTATGATAAAAGGAGATCAAGTGTTATGCGAATTAAAAATTTAGAGGAATCCCGTGTAATTATATCAAACTTATGAGACTTATTATATATATATATATATATATATATATTTTAAAAGCTCAGAAAAGAAAATTTAGAGGAATCCCGTGTAATTATATCAAACTTATGAGACTTATTATATATATATATATATATATATATATTTTAAAAGCTCAGGAAAGATTAGTGAAATTTACCTTAAATAAAAACTACATAGAATTCCCCTTATATTAATCAACCATTCTTTAAATGAAATTTGTCAACAGTTGTAACAAATCTCATTTTATTTTACTCCATTCAATAAGCTAGTTATGATAATAGTTATTTTAATAAAATTATTCTAAACTAACTACATTTTGGATACTTTTAAACATTTTGTATATATAGGTAAAATAAACGGCAGTACCGAAACACTTGAATTAAAATATTATTACATAATACAAAAGAGTTCTTTCTTTTTCTTTTCTTTTCTTTTTTTTTGTTTTTGTTTTTGTTTTTGTTTGTGCTTTAGCTAATAAAAAATAAAGAGTCGTGCTAGAGTTGCTCTATTTTTCCAAATTAGAAGAGATTAATAAAAATAAAAATTTGAAAAAATTATAAGAAAAACCCAAAATTCTTGTAACAAATTAAATCCAAAAAATTTAATTGTATCAATTTAAATCTCAATCATTTAAATTGATATCAACCCTCATCTGCAGTT